CCTGTGAAAGAAGGACCTTAACTGCTTCAACACGTCCTGTCGGTCACCCAGCATTGCCACAAGAGGCCACAAGAAGCCCCACGTTAACCCCTAAGGCGCCCCCCACGCGGTTCGTGAGAGGTCCTGAACACCCTCAAGACGGCCACGAGGCGGCGCAAAACGATCCCAAGATAGCCCAAGAACCCTCAGGAGGCCGAAACAAGGCTTGGCCCTGACAGCACAAGAAGACCCAAGATCCTTCCAGACGCCAAAGAGCGGTCCCACAACGTATTTTTCGAAGAGCACGGGAGGAGGAGGAGGAGGAGGAGCAGGAGGAGGAGGAGGAGTAGGAGCTCAAGACGGCCCAACATCGTCCGGGGAACTCTCGGAGGCTCCGAGGAAGCGTGGCGGGACCCGACCACGGCGGAGCGACCCAAAAAGAGATCTCGATGCTGCGATTGCCCCGTGGCGGGACTTGCCGCAGGCAGCTGGATAGACAGGCGCAAGGGGAACAACGCACTGCTTCTGCACCGTTCACCAACATGGTCTGCACTCCGGACAAGCTACGAACGCCTGAGGGTAATGACTCAGGACCTTGACTTGTGTGACCCAGAGGCCTGAATGTTTAAGCCGAAGCTTCTGAACCAGTGAACAAATGTAGAGGCTCACAGTGCGCACTGTGGCGCGAAAACTGATTGATTGGTACAGCGCCCCTCTGGAATATTGGCCACAAGCTCACTTGGAAGCCCTCGAGCAACTGTGCACAGTCTTCTGTCCAGTCGCTCTCACTCCTCCTCCCCTCCCTCCCATCCACATCTGCTCTGCCCCGCTCTTCCCTCCCACCATTTCGGACCACCCTTCAGTGATCCGGGTGATGGGGATGACTGCCGCACGTTGAAACATGCCCTTGAGAAAGAGCATTGCGCAATGGGGACCGTGGTCAGGAAAAAACGATTCAGTGTGTCGCCGCAACCCCCTCCCAATCCCTCTCCCACTCGTCCGTCCCCTCGCCTGACCTGTCCTCACAATCCATCTGTTCCATCTCCACCTCCGCATCCTCCTCTCTCTCGACTCTCCACCCCCTCCTCTCGCTCATTCGCCCTCTCCTCCTCCTCCTCATCCATGCCGGGGATTTGCTTCTAGCGTCATCCAGCCGACCTTGACCCTCCTTGTCAGTTGTCGAAGCGCGCAACATGTTGCGGCCATGGTTTGGCATGACCTCCTTTTTGATTTGAATTCCTACCTGTAAGTCGGGCGTGTCCCCCTACAGGGGGATTTTGGGCGAAAAATAAAGTAGATACAAAAAATACCCCCCAAATATGTCAAACTACTCAAAACCCAGACTATTTTTTTACTATTTCTGAATATTCCCCCTGTCGAGGGACGGGCCCGACTTGAACCCTGGATTTGACGTGAATTCCTGGCCTCAGCCAGCCCTGGAAGCCCGCAGCCGAGTGGATGGCATCGACACCGAGGCCGAGGGAACGCAGGAACGAGCAGTGAGTGACACGTTCGACTGCGTGATCGCATCCTCGCGTGGTCTGCAGGACTTGCACGTGTCCCTCTCGACAAAGACGCCGAAGCTGGTAGCCAGCAGCATCGAAGGGGCCCTGGGACGCACAAATAAAGACACACAACAATAACTTGATTACCCTGTGCTTTCCCACATGTTCTGGGTTTTTGTGTCTTCCCCCCGAATTCCTATATGGTTCTGCATGTTCCTGGGGATCGACGATTCCTTGTGTCTGTGTGTGTTTTCTCCCCTCCTGAAGCATGGCGATGGCCACGACTGCAGAGAGCACCGTGCAGTCACGGGCAGTGGGGACCACGGCAGCCAGTCGGGGATGGACAGACCCCCCTTTAGCAAAACGTGGTTTAGTGAAAACGACCTGAGGCCCAAACCTGGCGGGCGCAAGCCTGGAAAATAACGGCCACGGCGCCCTCTCGAGAACCGAAAACGGACAATTCACTAATCGACGTGTCACTGTTGGGGGTTCTGTCCACCCCCGAGCCAGCGCGGCCCCCGACCTCGGCGCGGACCGAGGGTCGGGGCTCGGGAGCCGCAGGTCCAGGGGCCCCCTGCGATGGCGCCAGGCGTTAGGTCGGGCGTGTCCCCCTACAGGGGGGATTTTCGACGAAAGTTTGCATCATATTCCAAAAATGCTCCAACATGGCCAACGATAGTCCAGAAATGGTCCCTCGGCTATTCTTCGACTATGTTTGAAGATTCCCCCTGTAGAGGGACAAGCTCGCCTTAAACCAAGCTCTGCGTCGCGCGACCACAGCCAAGCGACGCGGAGCCATCAGGCGTAGCATTCGGCGACGGCTTTTTTAAAAGCCACTGGCGCGATACTCCAAGGCGTCTGCGAAGCGTGATCATATGGTATGGCGCCGAGTCGCCAAACGTGTTTTCGCCGAGTTGCGGCAGGCACCTCTGTGAAACAGCGGCATGGCCTTTGTCTCACAACTGCCCCCGCTCTGACCCTAAGCTCGAATGGGGGCAACCATATCATGCCGCATGAATGGTTCCGACTATTGCCCTGCACTTCTGAGATCCATGAGCGTTTAGCTTTTGCATGTGAGCGCTGCTGGGCCAAACTTGATGCCGTGCGGCCCAACCGTTGTTAGAGGCGAGCGCACGGTCCCATCAGCGCCAATACTAGCCTGCCGTTCTGTGGTTGATCGGGAGTTTGAACATATAGAATAAAATGTGTGCGTTTGCGGGCGATAGGTGAATGAGCGGGAAGCAGTGGTGCTGCGGGCGAGAATAAGGAGGGTGAGGATCAATGGGGGCGAGGCTCGCGAAGGGGAGGATCGGGAGAGTGAAGGTCACGCGGGTGAAGATCAGGCGAGCGCGGAGCAGGAATAGCGAGGATGTGGAGACCGAGGGTCGGGAGAGCGAAAACGAGGAGAAAGAAGATTAGCAGGGTAGGGATCGGGCGAACGTGGGGCAGGAAAGGGAGGATCAGCTGGGTGAGGGCTGGCGGAGGGTGAGCACCACGAGGAGGGCGAGAATTAGGACCGTAAGAACGAGCATGAGGAGCGTGAGGGCCAGGAACGAGCGCGAGCGCGGCGGCGGCATTCCGCTGAAAAATATGATGCGGCGGGGGCGATGGTGCACTCCGAAACCACATGGCGAAAACCCAATGTAAATATTCATTGTCTGATAAGAAGACGGGGACATCCCAATGTGGACATACGACACTGAATGCAGACATGTCAATCGCCAGCGCGCGCGGCGGCGGCATGCCGCTGATAGATTTGATGCAGCGGGGGCGATGTTGAACTCCAAAACCCAATGTCGAAAACCCAATGTAAAAATGCATTCTCTGATCGGAAGACGGGAACATCCCAATGTGGATATACGACACCGAATGCAAAAATGCCAAGCGCCAGCGCGCGCGGCGGCGGCATGCCGCTGATGTATTTTATACAACGGGACGAATTTTCGCGCGCGCGGCGGCGGCATGCCGCTGATAAATTCTATACCACAGTGCGAAATTGAATCTCCCAAACCTAATGAAGAAAACCCCATGTAAACATTCATTCTCTGATCGGAAGACGGGAACATCCCCATGTGGACATGCGACGCTGAGTGCACAAATGCCAATCGCCAACAAGCGCGCGCGGCGGCGGCATGCCGCTGATAGATTTGATGCAACGGGAGCGACCTTGCACTCCCAATCCCAATGAAGAAAACCCAATGTAAACATTCATTCTCTGATCGGAAGACGGGAACATCCCCATGTGGACATGCGACGCTGAGTGCACAAATGCCAATCGCCAACAAGCGCGCGCGGCGGCGGCATGCCGCTGATAGATTTGATGCAACGGGAGCGACCTTGCACTCCCAATCCCAATGAAGAAAACCCAATGTAAACATTCATTCTCTGATCGGAAGACGGGAACATCCCCATGTGGACATGCGACGCTGAGTGCACAAATGCCAATCGCCAACAAGCGCGCGCGGCGGCGGCATGCCGCTGATAGATTTGATGCAACGGGAGCGATGTTGAACTCCAAAACCCAATGGCAAAAACCCAATGAAAAAATCACTCTCTGATTGGAGGACGAGAACATCCCCATGTGGATATACGACACTGGATGCGCAAATTCCGATCGCCAACGCGCGCGCGCGCGCGGCGGCGGCATGCTGCTGATAGATTTTAAACAAAGGGAGCCATGTTGAACTCCAAAACCCAATGGCGAAAACCACAAGTAAAAATTCATTCTCTGATCGGAAGACGAGAACATCCCATCTGGATCTACGACACCGAATGCACAAATGCCAATCGTCAACGCTCGCGCGCGCGCGGCGGCGGCATGCCGCTGATAGTTCTTACAACAAAATATACAACGGGAGCGATGTTGAATTCCAAAACCCAATGGCGAAAACACAAGGTAAACATGCATTCTCTGATCGGAAGACGGGAACATCCTCATGTGGGTATACGACATTGAATGCACAAATACATGACAATCGCAAGCGCGCGCGGCGGCGGCATGCCGCTGATAGATTTGATGCAACGGCAGCGAGGTTGCGTTCCAAAATCCAATGGCGAAAACCCAATGTAAACATTCATTTTCTGATCGGAAGACGGGAACATCCCAATGTGAATATACGACACCGAATGCAAAAATGTCAACCGCCAACGCGCGCGCCATACCGCTGATAGATGTTATATCACGTGAGCGATGTTGAATTCCAAAACTCAATGGCGAAAACACACTGTAACAATACATTCTCTGATCGGAAGACGGGAACATCCTTGTCGGCATTCTCCCTGGTACCAAGGTATACACAAGTGGCATCGAGCAGCATCCATGGAATTTTTCCTGGGGGGACAAATAAAAATATAGTTATTTGGATGCAAATTAATGGCAGTCGAGATCCGAGGGGGGGGGAGGGGGGGGCATAATTTTTTAAACCAGTTTTGGACATTACCCATAGGAGCAGGAGAAGGAGGAGGAGGAGGAGAAGGAGGAGGAGGTTTCCCCGATCCTCCTCTCATTCCCTTCCCACCCCTCCCTCCTATCTGAGGCGCTCCGCGCCGGCTCGTCGAATTGCGAGGGGCCCGCTGGGCTCAGATCGCGGGCGCGAGGCGGCAGGTCGCGGCCTGAGGGTGGCCCTTCTGGTTGACCGTCATGGTGAAGAGCAGCCGGCTGCCGCGCTCGGCGCCCTCGGCCAACGAAGCGATCATCCCCCCCCCCCGCCCCGTCGATACCCCTGCCTTCCCTGGGACGCACAAGGACTTGCAAGTTACCAGTACTAGATGTCCTTTTTGGAGGCGTGCGCCTGGCCCGAATATATGTAGCACAGCCGTCTTGTAGTAGATCGTTTCCCGAGCGGTATGGCCAGAAAGCGCCCAGCACGGGGCATATGCTATAAGATCTCTCGGCGCGCGCGTCACCCGTGGGGGGGGGGGATGCACACATAGTATTCGCATGTTGGGATCACGCCGATTCCCTTTCCCCCTGGATCCCTCGAGCCTCCCCCCTCTTCTCTCGGGGATCTACTGACACGGGTCAATCCAGACCCAGGCCTTGCAAGATCCTGCAGGACCCTGCACCCGACCCCAGGTCAATGCGACCCTGGCCCTGCAGGATCTGGCGAGGTCCAGCGCTCTGACTGATCCCCATTTGCATTGGCCCCCGCCTCAAGGCATCGACTCCACTGCTCCTCCTCCTCCTCCTCCTCCTCCTCCTCCTCGTCCTCCTCCTTGCGAACCTTTCGAATGCAGCCATGTATCTCCGAGCGGATCTCCTCCTCCGCCTCCTCCTCCTCCTCCTCCTCCTCCTCCTCCGCCGCCGCCGCCGCCGCCGCCGCCGGCGCCGCGCCGCCTCCTCCTCCTCCCCTCCTCCTCCTCCTCCTCCTCCTCTCCTCCTCCTCCTCCTCCTCCTCCTCTCCTCCTCACCCCTCCCACCCCCCCCCTTCCCCCTCCCTTTCCCACCCCCCCCCCCTCCCCACCCCCCCCCCCCCCCCATTCCTCCTCCTCCTCCTCCTCCTCCTCCGTCCTCCTCCCCCTCCCCTCCTCCTCCTCCCCCTCCTCCTCCTCCTCTCTCCTCCTCCTCCTCCTCCTCCCCTCTCGCCTCGCCTCCGCCTCGGCCTCCGCCTCATCCTCCTCCTCCTCTCCTCCTCCTCTCCTCCTCTCCTCTCCTCCTCCTCCTCCTCCTCCTCCCTCCTCCTCCTCCCCTCCTCCCCTCCTCCCCTCCTCCCCTCCTCCCCCTCCTCCCCTCCTCCCCCTCCTCCCCCTCTCCTCCTCCCCCCTCTCCTCTCCTCCTCCGCCTCCTCCTCTCCTCCTCCTCCTCCTCCTTCCAGTCTCTTGAGCACGTGGAGCCCCCTCCTTCTCCCTCCGCGCCTCGGGCCCCCCGGACCTCGGCTCGAGGGCGCGGGCGCCGGGATCGCGCCACACCCTGCCGTCACTCTGGGCTGACTACTGGGGATCGTTCTTCTGGAGGAGGAGGGGGAGGAGGAGGAGGAGGAGGAGGAGGAGGAGGAGGAGGAGGAGGAGGAGGAGGAGGAGGAGGAAGGAGGAGGAGGAGGAGGAGGAGGAGGGGGAGAGGAGGAGGATGACGATGATGATGATGCTGAGGAGGAGGAGGAGGAGGAGGGGGGAGGAGGGGAGGAGGAGGAGGAGGAGGAGGAGGGGGAGGAGAGGGAGGACCAGGAGGAGGAGGAGGAGGAGGAGCATGAGGAGCGTGAGGATCTCGCCATCGCTCGGACGTCCATTCCCTGTGTTTTTTTCGGTTCCGCGCGTGGCTCTTTCGCCACATGGTCAAGGATGCTCCTCAATAGTCCTCGTCGAAAGAAGAATGCACACGTCCAGGCGATGCCAAGTCTTTGAGGGGCGAAGACAGGCATGGGCTTGGACGCCCGAAATGGGTACGGAAAGAACGGGCACAATGCCCAACAACAAATGTTGTCCCAAACCAACAACGGCCGCTGTTGAACAGGCGGCCCTCTGTCTCGAATGGACATAGGCCGCGGCGGCGTGGACAGCGAATCCGGTTCAAAATGAACAGGAACTGCTGTTGGGCATTGTGCCCATTCTTTCCGTACCCATTTCGGGCGTCCAGAATGGGGGGGGACTTGGCATGGGGGGGATGCATCGACATGGAATCGGCGGACACGTCGCCGATAGATCGGCGATATGCCCCAGGTAGTGACTCCGCACCTGGGACCATCGGGCCCCTATCGGCGATCAATGGGCGATCGGAGGTCGATGCATCCCACCCCCCCTATGCCTATCTCCACCTATCGTTGCCCCCGATTTTTGTATTTCGGCGACAGCCCCGGCTATCCGGTGGGAAATGAGGTGCCGACCGACAGCCAAGCAGCCCCACGCAAATATCCCCCCGCGCGCACCAACACGCATCGGTCGGAAGAAAAAGGTAATTAGGAGCATGAAAAAAGAAAGCGTTGAAAGCTGATTGGGTTTCCGCGCGCCCCCTGAAGGGGACGGAAAAGGTGAAGCCACTCGATCACTGAAGTAAGAAGGCGCCTAAAGTAGAGTGGACTCTGAGAATCCCCAAAGTACCGACTTTCAACGACCGAGGGGTACTGCGTAACACCCTGCGGGCGTAGCCCCCTGCGGGCCTTTCGCTCTGGGCAGCCCCACGCAACTAGCTTGAAGTCGGGCGTGTCCCCCTACAGGAGGATTTTGGGCAACAAACATAAAAATACTCCAAGAATACATCGAACATATGCAACATTGGTTCAAAAATCGTCCCCTGACAATTGTTTTGCTATTTCTGAACATTCCCCCTGTAGAGGGACAGGCCCGACTTAAAACTAGCCACGCGCGCACCAACACTGCGCAGCCCCCCGCGAGCCTGCGGAAGCGACAGAATTCGGGGATCTTCTGACCCGGGTTAATCCAGACCTGGGCCAGCAGGAAACCGAAAACTGCAGTGCAGGAAAAAAAAGAATTATCCCGGCGAAGGGCCCAACCATGTGCAGCTGTGTGTAACGCAGGTGTGGGTATCGTCCTCGGTGAACCTCCCTCTGAGACCACGACGCGTGTGACGGGTGTGCCAAAATTGGCACTGGTACGCCATGCGGAGGTGGGAACGCGGGGCGCTGTCTCTGCAAAACGAGGACCCAACACCACAGGATGGTTGGGAAAAACGCAGCGCAGGTCTTCGCAGACCCGGGTCGGCCAATGTGCGCGGCCGCCTCGCGGCCACGAGCGGCTCGCCAACCCGGGTCAGCCAGGAGGGGGTCTTCGCAGGATCCTGCAGGATCCGGTGCCCTGGCTAGAGGCCTCCCAGATGGGGTCGGAGTAGATGGGATCGGAGGATCGCGCCGCATCGCCGATACATTGGCGATGCATCGGCGATGCATCGGCAATGTATCAGTGATGCACCAGCGATGCATCGGCGAAGCCGGCGATGCTGCGGCGACGTCCGCGTAGAGAAGCTCGGGCTCCACATCGAGCCGCATCGTCGATGCATCCTCGCTATGGCGCGATCCTCCGACTCCATCTACCCCGACCCCATCTAGGAGGCCTAGACTGGCTGACCCCCGTTTGCACGGACCCCCGTCTCGAGGCTCCCGATTACCCAGTGGGTGGGAGGTGCCGGCCGGCAACCCGACCCTGACGCTCTGGGCAGGGCCACGCAGGCCAGCGCGCACCAGCGCTGCCCTCCCCCCCTCCTCCTCTCCTCCTCTCCTCCTCCTCTACTCCTCATCCTCCTTCCTCTCCTCCTCCTTCCTCCTCCTCCTCCTCCTCCTCCTCCTCCCCCTCCCCCTCCCCTCCTCCTCCTCCTCCTCCGCCTCCTCCTCCCTCCTCCTCCTCCTCCTCCTTCTCATCCTCCTCCTCCTTCCTCCTCCTCCTCCTCCCCCCCCTCCCTTCTTTTTCTTTTTCTTCTTCTTCCTCCTCCTCCTCCTCCTCCTCCTCCATACTCCTCCTCCTCCATACTCCTATAATCCTCCGTTTGCGCTCACAACCGTTTGCACCGACCCCCGTCTCTCGAGCCCCGCAGAGTCAAACTGCGGGGCTACTTCTCCGGGGGGGGGGGCGGCAGGCCGACGGCCTCGGTGGGGCCAGGGATCGCCGGAGTCTTCACGTGAGGTCGGGCGTGTCCCCCTCCAGGCGGCTCTTCGAGGACAAATGAGAAGTAGCTACAAAAATATCCAAATTGGTCGAACATAAAAAATGAAAGATGAAACAAATGAAACATATTTACAAGAATATCCAGATTGGTCGGACATAGAAGGAACATCGTCCCCGGACTAGTTTTAGCTAGCTTCGAGTGCTCCTCCTGCAGAGGGACGGAACCTTCCGTGGTTATTTCCGGCTTCTCGCGGGCCCCTCCCGGGGGCCCAGGACTGTGAAGAAGCTGGCGTTGGGTCGGGCATGTCTCCCTACAGGCCTATTTCGGACGGGAAGAACATAGGCAACAAATGGCACAAATGGTCAGAGATGCTCAGAAATGGTCAAACATCGCCCCCAGATTATATTCCTCGTCTAGAATTAAGTCGGGCCTGTCCCCCTACAGGGGAATTTTCGACGAATAACGAAAAATACCGCCAACATACTCCAAAATGGCAAGACAAATACTAAAAAAATAGTTCCCATACTATATTTTGACAATTTTTGAACTAGTTGGGGTGTATGATATATTTTTCGTCCAAAACCCCGTAGGGGGACAGGCCCGACTTAAGTCTAGAACGACATGCCCGACTTAAAGCTGGCACCGAGAAACGGGTCGGGGCTTCGAAGGCCACAAACATCCCCGTCGGAAATGGGGGTGAGGAGAACTCTGGCTTCAATAGGGACCGCCCCCTCAAAACAGTTGGGTCCATGTCTGTCTGGCAGGCTCTGGTCCGACTTTTCCCCAACAACCCGCACTCGGTCACGAACACTCGCGTGGTGCGCTCTTTTGAAGCCCGTGTGAATTCCAGGTGCAGTACAGTCGACCTTGATTGGACAGGACACGCGAGAGGACACAAGACCCTTCCGAGGGCCACATTGCCATGGGGGATGCAGGAGGCACGGGTCGCGAGGCACAGGACACA